TTTTTATAGCATAAATTGTAAAACAGACAATTCTTCATTTCTTATTTGGTTGCTTTTTATTTCTTTTACTATTTCCTCTGTGTCTAGGACTTTCAGTGTCATGTTGAATATAGTGATGAGAGTGGGCATTTCTCTCAGGTTTCCAATCTTAGAAGAAAAACCTCCAGCCTTTAACCATCAAGTGTGATATTAGCTGTGGTTTGTCTTATATGGTCTTTATGGTAGTGAGGTACATTCCTGCAAAATTTAATTTTTTTTGAGAGTTTTAATCCTGAAAGGAGGCTTTGTGAAGTACTTTTTCTGCATCTACTGAAATGATCATATGATTTTGTACCTTTCATTCTTTTAGTGTGGTGCATCATTATTATCGATTTGGATAAGTTGAGCCATCCTTGTACGTGTGGGATAAATGCCATTTGATCATGGAACATGATTCCTGTGTGGTTGAATTTGGTTTGCTAGAATTTTGTTGAGGATTTTTGCATCTATGCTTCTTAGGAATATTGGGTTGTAATTTTAGAATACTTCCTGTGTTCATTTCTGACTTTTATATCAAGGTAATCATAAAATAAGTTTGGCAGTTTTCCCTTTTCTTCAGTTTTTCTTTTGAAAGCTGTCATTAATTATTCTTTTAATGCTTGGTGGAATTCACCCTTGAAGTTATTGGGTCCTAAATTTTCTTTTGATGGGAGCTTTTTATTACTGAGTCAATTTCCTTAATCATTATTTGTCTCTTCAGATTTTATAATTTTTTCATAGTTCAATCTTGGTAAATCATCTGTTTCTACAAAATTATGAATATTGACCTAACAGGCTATCCAATTTGCTGATGCATAATTGCTCACAGTGACCTCTTCTGTCTGGTCTTTTATATTTCCATACTGTAAGTAATAATATCTTCTCTTTCATTTGTAATTTCATTCATATAGAACTTCTCTTTTTTGTTGTACATCTATTTGTTTTGTCCATTTTATCTTTTCTAAAAACCAGTTCTTAGTTTCATTGATATTTTCCATGAGTTTTCTAGTCTCTGTTTAAATTATTATTCTCTGATCTTTATCATCATTTCCTCTGATAACTGGTGTGGGCCTGGAGCGTGGGGCTGTAGACTGGCCTGATGTAAAAGTTGGTATGGATACTGTCTGGTGCTGATATCACTTTCCTATCCTTGCTGTGTTGTCTGGGTTTAAGGAAGGAGTAATATGGGTATTGTAAAAATGGTCTTCTCACTCTCTTATTTCTGTGCTCTGCCTGAATGTTGTTACTGGGTTCATTAGCTCTTATGAAGATATTTTTATGTGTCAATAGTTGTTCAAATTGATATTTCTGCAATAAGATGGGTGCTGGAAATACTTTTCTATAATCTTGCCAAGGTTTTCTTTGTATTGCTTGTTAAAATTTTCTGAGTCTATATTTATCAAAAGTAAAAGTTAGTAAAAATTATTGTAAAAGTTAGATGTTTCCAGAAATGACAGTCAAAAGAATTTGTCACGATCTGACTTTTAGTGCCAGGAGTTTTATAGGAAGCCCATTTAAGACTGGAAAATAATGCCACACAAAGGAGTAAAGAGTATCAGGAAGGTAACTATATGGGTAAATATGAAGCCATTTTCATGTTACTTAATCTCTTATTCAGATCAAAATATTATAGCACTGCCTTTATTCCTATAATTTCTATCACACAATTAAGGGACGAAACAGTATAAATTCCAGAAAAAAATGGAAGAGCTTAGGTTATTTACCGTCTATGTTCATGAGGTCAGTATTTTCTGATACCAAAAGGAGACAAAACATTGCCTTCATAAATGAAATTTATAAACTACTATCACTTGAGGTCATAAATGACTTAGCAAACTTTTAGCATATCAATTTCAACAGTATATGAAAGATATGATATGTATATGAAAGATATGATAAATATATGACATGTATAGACTGATTGGAATTTATTTCAGGAATGCATATTGGCTAATCGTTGAAATGAAACATTGTAATTTATCATAGTAACACATTTTAAAAGAAAAATCATATGATCATTTCAGTAGGTTAAGAAAAAGTATTGAACAATATCCAACATTGATTCATGATAAAAATAACAGATTGGTAATAGGACACTGATAAATGATATCTGTGAAAATTCTACAGCTAATGTCATACTAATTATGAAAGTTTAAATTCTTTCACTTAAGTTCAAGCATAAGGCAATGGTAGGTGGTATTGTGATGGGAGATGTTGTGATTATTTTTGGAGAATATAATTTACCCATTATTTTAGAATTTGAAATTTTTGAGTATGTGTATGTATATGATGGATAGCAGTCTCAATTTAAGGACGCATCTCTAGAGACTGGAGTCCTTATCTCAAAGGCAATTTCTTATATTAAAAGAGTAGTAAAACTGATCCTGAAACACTTGACTCTAAAACTTACACATTTCTACTATATTCCTGGCCTTCAACTATATTCCTGTTACTGCATTATATCTTCTTTACAGTCTGTGCTCTTTTGTTTTTGTGTTTTCAGACAATTACTTTAATTCACCTGGCAAACAGTAATAATATAAATGTAAGTTGTATGTACATTTGTCCATAAAAAACAAATAACTGATCTCATTTTGCAATGCTGGGGATTGATACTACAGCCTTGCCTGTGCTAGATAGCAAAATATTTTTGAAATAAAAGATATTTATTAAATTATACCACTGTTGATGAAGGGATAGAACAGTTATTTATAGTTCTTCACATTACTTAATCATAGTCTGAAATCCTAAATCACTTGCATATTTTCTATTTGAATGCATTTGTTCCTCTTGCAGTCCTTCATTCTATGAGGACATTTGTTTCACTGGATTACATGAATCATAATTTCCTTCATCCACTCTGCCTTCAATAGTACCAGTGAAATTCTCCCTCAGGAACTCCATGGATAAGATGACCAATAGAAAGATTGTTTATTTAGTTACCCCTGCAGCCAGTCCTTCCTTGAAAATTATCCTCTTCAAATAAAGCTTTAATTTGCTGTTCATTTGACATATTTTATCATATAGAAAGTGTCAACTTATATACAGTACTGTTTGTATGGTAAGAAGGCTGGGGAAATGATGATATTATTTAGTTATTTTCCTTTTGTCAAGTGTTGCTTTCTTTTTTGTTGTACTAATTAATTCTGTAGTCCTCTTTTTTCTTCAAATTTTGAATAAGTCTATAATAGTGTAATTAAACCAAATCTTTTAAACCTCACAAAAGAAATATCTGAATAAAAAATGGGATTAATGATTTATCAAAGCAAATTTATTTTATCATTTTCCACTTTTTAAAAAATTAATTTTATTGGTACATTCTTGATGTACATAATGATCACATTCATCATAGGGAATTTGTACCTGTACATCGTATATCTTGATTCTTCTTTATTTTCCCATTCCCCTTCCCTCCCTTCAACCCTTCTACTCCTCCTTATTTACAAAAGCTTTGTTTCCATTTTTCCCTTCTATTCTTTTTTTCTTTTTCTTTTCCTTCCCTTCCTCCTTCCCTTTCTCTTGACCCTTTTCCCATTTAAATATTTTCTTCCTATTTCCCCATATCTGATATCCATTTTGGTCTCTATGGTGAAGCAAATATTCTTAATTGTTAACTTTATTGTGAAGAATGTATTTATTCCTTGTTTTGTTTTTAGATCCTGAATACTGGCCTGAAAAAATATTCTACTAAGTTAACTATTTTACTGAGTATTACTGTTTTGAACATTTAGCAGATGTAGGGGTCTTGGCTTTTAAAGTTCTTAAAATGTATTTATGCACATGAAATATTAAATACCAATGCAGTATAAACAAGATATCAATTAGTGCTCTTTAAAAGCTTATAATAAGCCAGACTGATGGGCACTCTGGCAAACAAACAGATATGAAGATAGAGGAGCAGCATTCAAGAGAGTGAAGGATTTTTACTGGATAGGCAGATATAAAAGTATTACAACCAAAGTTGAGAGGAAGAGAAAAACCTGAAGGAAATTGCATATCTACAATCTTCTAAGTGTATCCTTTCATTTCTAGGAGGCAGCCATCTGATAAGATGGAGGAATGATACAGAACAAGATCATAGCTTGTTTGAGCACCATCTCCTGATTGGTAATTGACTCTCCATATATTCTATTTGGGTTGAAGCCTATTCTGATGGGAATCATGAATTTGTCTGAATTACTCAAGGACTTCCTATAGATATATTGATAATTCTGAGATGTCAGACCAGGCGGAAAATAATTTCGAATTCTGGATAAATGTTACATTTTAATTTTCTTTCTCTCTCTCTTTTTTTCCTATGTACAATTCCTTTTCAGGAATGCTATGTTCAGACCTTCATATACAGATGACTACATTCTATTCATAGATCAGGGAGTCCTTATCCCAAAGAGATCCTCTCTGGACTAAAAACCTAAAATAATTTTGATAACATTAATATAACATTAATATATAATATAAAGAGAACCTCTCTGGACTAAAAACCTAAAATGATTTTGATAACATAATATAACATTAATATAGTAAGGCAGTGGGGTTGGGATTTGATTACCCCTAAGGTTTTATTGTGTAACAGAAATATGTAGTCTTTGAATACATATAGATTTGAGTTGAAATCCTGACATCTATTATTATTATTTGCTTAGTCTTATACAAGTTACTTTACCTGTCTAGATGTTGCTTCCCTCATCTATAAAATGTATGGACTGCAGAGTGCATACCTGTAGACTGCAGAGTGGTACAGGCGATCCCAGCCAGCCCCATTTACTTCTGAACCATGTATTTTAGGTTTTGGAGACACCTTAAACATAAAGTACTTTGGTCCTCTCAGGCAATAAGCCTGGGAGGGCGACATTGAGGCTGGTCACTCTGTCAGAGGCTGAGGTGACACTCTGTTACTCTGCTTGCCGCTTGAATGATTTCCGGTTTGATTTAAGGCTTGCAGAGCTGCCTTCCTGGCAGGCTCGTTGGGTGGTATGACCGGGTCAGGGGGGTGGGCTGCCTGCAGGCGTCTCTCGGGGGTTGATACACAGCCGCCTCCGCAGGGCCCGCTTCACCTCTTTGTTCCTCAGTGTGTAAATGAAAGGATTGAGCATGGGAGTGACGATTGTGTAGAAGACGGCGGGAGCTCCAGCGCCAGGCCCACTGGAGCTCGGCTGCAGGTAGATGCAGACAGGTGGCAGGTAATACAGGAGCACCACAGTGAGGTGGGCTGAGCAGGTGGAGAAGGCCCGCCGCTGGCCCTCGGCGGTGCGGATGCGCAGCACGGCAGACACGATGAAGACGTAGGATATGACGATGAGGATCAGGCAGCCTGCAGCCACTATGCCAATGTTGGCAAGCATAACAAGCTCATTAATGGTGGTGTCCACGCAGGCCAGCTTCAGCACAGGGGGGATGTCGCAGAAGAAGTAGGCAACATGGTGGGGTCCGCAGTAGAGCAGGTGGAAGGTGAGGGAGGTATGGACTGCAGAGTGCACAGCACCTGTGGCCCAGGTGATCCCAGCCAGCCTGGCGCACATCCTTCTGCTCATGGCCACTGGGTAGTGCAGGGGTTGGCAGATAGCCAGGTAGCGGTCATAGGCCATGACGGTGTACAGGAAGCACTCAGTGCTGGCCAGAAAGTGGAAACAGTAAAGCTGTACAGCACAGCTTTGGAAGGAGATCACCTTCCCCTCCGGAGTCAGCAGTCCTGCCATGACCTTGGGCACCGTCACTGTAGACAGGCAGGCATCCAGGAAGGAGAGGTGGCCCAGGAAGTGGTACATGGGGGAGCGGAGGTGGGGGTCAGAACCCACAGTCAGGAGAATAAGGAGATTTCCAGTCACCGTGGTGCTATAGATGAGGAGGAAGAGGAGGAAGAAGAGGCTAGGATGGTCCCCTGTGTACATCAGACCTTCCAGGAAGAAGTGGCTCACCACTGTCTGATTGAGGTACTCTGACTTGAAAACCATCTTCTCACTGCAGACTATTTACTTAGCCCCAGCAAAGCTGACATTAACAGATAAACAGCTGTTTCCCTTTCCTGAAATTCATTATCCATTGGGCCACACCATGTTGGTCTTTCATATATAAAAAAAGAAGAATATAGAAGTTTGTCACCTCCAGATTTGTCCTGTTCTCGTGTTTTCTTGTTGCCTGTTCTTCCAAAATGAATGTTTCAATGAATGATCTAAGGCACATAGCAGGTTGTAAGAATTAATTGCAGAAATGAATTCCCTAAATAATGACTCTGTAGAGTGTAAACCCTGCTTTCACTGTGTATGGTTTTGGCATATATTCCCGAATACTGAGGCCTCTGACTTCTTCATTCACTGTACCATGCTCGAGCTGTGGACAGGTGGTTTCTTATTGCTATTTGTCATTGTTTGTTGAATCTCACCTCTGGGGGAGCATTGCCTAGAGTTTTCGTGCTATTACATCAGCCAGAAATACAACACACCCCACCTCTTACACACAGGGAGTTCTTTAGAATTTCAGCTACCTACCACCCTCAAGTGCCTGGCAATGAAGCTCTGGAGAGTAGACCAAGTAATTACCAGAACAATTTGTTTCATCCAGTTCATGTGCTTCTTGTAAAGCTTTATCTTAAACTTCTGGACATTGTTTTCCTTTTCTTTTTTTGTTCCTTTCCACTGGACCAGAATTGAAATTTAAGATTTCTTTTTGATTCTTTCCACCCTTGATCTCCTAAACCTATGTAAAAACTGTTTTAAAAACTGCCTCTTTTTCCCCCTGTTGTGTCTTCAGTTCCCATGAATTTTACCTAAACCTCCTTGTATATATTTTATTCTTAGATTTTTATAATGACATTTCATGCACCATCTACTTACACCCTAAGAAATCACATTATTCTGTGTTCCACTTCTTAGTCTTCTGAAAATAACATGCTCAATATCTATCTATCATCTATCTTTTCTGTTCCCGATAGCCTATAATATGAAATGTATCTTTTTAAGATATTCAAAAATATTTCCAAGCTCTTTTATGATGAAAAGGGTTTACCTCTTGTAATATACATATATGTGTGTTTTGTCTTTCTGAAGGGATCACATGGAAAGACTTACACTTTCTTGATTTTTCACTAACATTTTGAGACAGAGAAGTATAAATAGGAAAGAGTCACCTTTATTTGGATTTCTACAAATTTAAGTTTAAACCCTTGGTCTATCACTTATTAGCTGAAAGATAAGGATCTTGAAGTAATCTTGCTATGTAGTTCAGGCTGGGCTTGAACTCATTATATAGCTTAAGCTGGCCTTGAACTTCTGACAGTCCTCCTGCCTCAGCCTCCCAAGTGCTGGGATTACGTATGTGCACCACCACACTTGGCTAATGTATGTTTATTTCATGTGAACTTTAGTATCATCATGTGAATTTTCATAAATGACCTCTATTTTTATTGCTATTATGTCAAATTTATAAAATAACGGGAGAATTATCATTTTTATAATGTGAACTCATAAACTCAGAATGTCTTTATATTTGTTCATATATATATTTTAAGAATGTTTTAAAATTTTCTCATGTAAATTTGCACATTTCTTACTCAATTTACTCATTTGTTTTGAGTCTTCTTTGTTGCTGTTGTAGATGGAATTTTCTCTACCAACATTTCTTCTTAACTTTATTGTGTGTGTGTGTATATATATATATATGGAGACTTTAATTTCTACATCTTAATTTTAAGTTCTTTTTTTATTACTGGATTCTTTTATTATTTGTTTTAATTAATGATTTTCATGGATTTTTCAAGTATACTATTATGTTATTTGCATGTAGAGATAATTCTAGTTATTCTTTACTCACTCTTCTCTATTTCTCTTATCTAGTTGCATTGATTATGCTTCTAGTATGATGCTAAATATTAACAGGGAAATGCCTCATCTTGCAATTAATTGACACCATAGATTTTAATGCATGTATGTCATATTAAATTTAATGTTAGATATTATGCATGTTTTAATTTCTTGGATAATTTTGTTATGAATGGATGTGAATTTTATCAGAATTTTTGAGTATCTGTGAAAATAGCTATAAAGTTTTTCTAAAATCTGTTAGTATGACATGATATTAATGCACTGACTAATACTAATACAGCATTGATTGTATTTATCCAGTACAGTCTATTTGGTCATGGTGTATTATTTTCTGAATGTAGTATTGGATTCTGTTTGCAAATATTTGATTTAGTAATCTTGAATTGACATTTGTGAATGATATTTTTCTGTGATTTTCTTTTTTTGTATGTTTTTATTTGATTTAGTCCCCTTTTTATAATCTTGTTCTTTGCTATCAGGATTATCAATTATTTTCCATATTGTTTAATGTCCATCTACTGTCTAGACAGCAGTGATCTGATTCTACTTTCCTTTGTATCTTTTTTTCCTCCTCTCACTTTTTACCTCCCTTAACTAACACTTCATAAGAATGCAAAATATTTGTGCAGCAGTCTTCCATCTTTCTCCCTCATTATAGTCTTGCAGGTGTACTTCTGTAAATTAAAATATTCATTTTGATTTCATATTTTCACATGGCCTTCATCTTTGAAGGATAGCTGAGATGAATATAAAATCATTGGCTTACACTTCCACTGAATTTTGTGAAACACCTTGTTCTGTTATTGGTTTGCTTTTTAAGTCGGTCACTTTGTAAGCTTGTTTTATAAATGGGATGCCTCATCTAATTCTTTTGCCTTTGTAAAGGATTGGCTAGAGGCTAAGAGCTGTCTCAGAGTTAGGTTTATAAAATGTTTCAGAGACTAGATTAAAACAAATGTTTATTAAAATAACTTTGACATCAATTCCAAGACACAAAATTACAGATTAATATCCTCATCACTATAGATGTACATAATATAAGCAAATACATGTGATATATGAAACTATGTTCACATGTAATGAACAGATATCTTAACTTGAAAAAAATTATTGTAATTGACCACTTAAAACAACTAATGAAAGGAGAAAATATCCAATAAATTAAGAAGTATTAAGTAATATTCAATAGTCATTATAAAATATCTTCATAAAAATAGTGGAAAGAAAGTGTTAAAAGCATGAGAAAGGGCTGAGGATGTAGGTCAGTGGTAGAACACTTAGCATGCATGAGGCCCTGGATTCAATCCCTAGCACCACAAAAACGTAAGAAAACATATAAGAAGCATGACAAGGGATAACTAACACAGCCATATTTAATGGTGAAAATTAAGCTGAATTTCCTTTTAGGTCAGAGAAAAAAAACAAATATGCTCATTTTCATTCTTCCTACCCAATGTTTTCTAAATTTACTAGGCAATGTAATAAACCTGGCAAAAGAGAAAATGGTTATGTGAAATCTATAAGCTTTTTAATTTTGAAATTAAAAACAAATGAGATATATCTTGATTGTAAATATTAAGCTGCTTTGAGAAATTTCAAAAAACTTCTTTTGACAGGTATAGTGGTATAATCCTAGCACCCAGGAGGCTGAGGCAGAAAAATTATTGCAAGTTGGAGACCAGCCTAGGCTATATAGTGAGATTCTGTTTCTGAAAAGAAACAAACAAAAACAAAAAAGAGAAAATTCTTACTGTGTTACATTTTTATAAAATATATAAATATTCCTTGCCTGTATTAACAGAAAAGAATTAAATGGTAAATATAAATCTATCAATGTATGTTTATAATGTATATAAGGAATAATGAAAATATTTAATGAAGTAACTTTAATGTGAAAGATACAAAATTAGAATCCAAGGATTATATCAAGCCTAGAGTTTAAAAGTACAGTTATTGGTGCTTGAAGCTCTACATTACAGGTCTATTGGTTAACACTTACATTTTTACAATGAATGAAAGAAATTTTTGAAGAAGAAAGCCTGGCATTTAGGTGATAGGGGAGGGAAGAGTTGAATTTAATTTCATGGAATCTTGTTTTTACCCATTGAATCAAATGGTCAAAATTCTTTGTTTAATTTCTATTTGTTTATTACTATATCTCTCAGACCACACTATCTGAACTAAATATTCACAAGTTCAGTGAGTTGGTTTTTTCTTCATGAAGAATAATTATTGTTCCTTTTACATAAAGTCTTGGCAAAAGGACAATTATAGATTTATTTCACATTTATTTCAATCTTTTTTATTGCAACATTTAAATATCAATTAGCAACTTCTGAATCTGTTCATAACAATTAATTGATAAAAGATGCCACCTTCTATGATATAAGTGTAGAAAACTAAGCAATTAACTCTTCATCCATTGGACTAAAATTCAGTACTATAGTATGATTCAAAGAAGGGAAATGGAGTAAATCCAAAGATTGTCTGAATTTAGAGGAAGTTTCCAGGTTGCAATGTGCTGTGATACCAGGAGAATTAAAATCCTCGAAGGTTAATGTCTTGATTGGGCCTAAAGAACAAGCTGCTGTACACCTGCCAAACCAATCTAAAGGAAGCCGCATCAGCACAATAATAAAACTTAAGAAAGAGGACTTCCAGAATGGCTACAAAAAGTTGCTAGAATGATGGGATAAGAGTGTTTGAAGTCAAAGGGACTATTTTGAGGCAGATTATTGGCAATGTGGTTTTTACTGTATTTTTACATATTTTTAAATTTAAACCACCATATATTTTGAGCACATGTCATATGTATGCAAATTTTAACGTATGCAGTCAAGGAGTCAAAAGGAAGCAAAACATTAAACTTTAAATGGTAGTAAGATGGAGAAATATCCACACAGACTGATGCTACTTTTTCTCTTGTACATATTTTTTCACATATTTAAGGTTAGGTAACCTCAACACAAATTTGAAAGCACAATATTCTCTATAGAGGTGAAGTTGAATGAAAGGTACTGCTCTATACAATTCCTTCTCATGAAGAATTCAATTTCTGGATTCAGATTAATTCACATGTTAGCTTTGGTGCTGTTTGCCAGTGGATTGATAATGAAGTAAAATTTGTTGCTTAGTGGTTTTATATGGTAGTTTTCTTTATAAAATAATGAAGCCAGGCTGGGGGCATATGCCCTTAATCCCAGAACTGAGTGCGGTTGAAGCAGGAGGATGGCAAGTGCACCTGGGAAACTTAGGAAGATCCTGTCTAAACAAACAAACAAACAAACAGGCAGATAAACAAACAAGGACTTGGGATGTAGCTTGGTAGAGAGCCAATGGGTTTTATGGTTTTATTCCTAGTAGTGGAGAGAGAGAGAGAGAGGGAGAGAGAGAGAGGGAGAGAGAGAGAGAGAGGTTTGCATTTGTCCATTAAACAACCAATTAAGAAGTTTTCTTAGTGACTTCTCATTTTTGGGTGTGACTTGTTTGTCAGTGGCTCTGATGAATGGAGAGGTCCTCATGCTTACTTTAATCTGATTTCTAGCTAGTTCTGTTCTGAGCCCATGGGCCTTATTAACTATGTTTTGCCTCCCTTTGTGCCATGAAATATTTAGGTACACACAGGACTGAAATTTCATTTGTTTGCCAGAGAATTTGTAACTATTTTAGGGTGCTCTTGAGATGGTTAATTAGGCTTCTCTAGAGCCTTCTCCTAGGTTTATCCATAGGGGTTTATATTCTTTCCACCACATGAAAACTGCTATGTAACTCTCTCATCTGACTGACTGGATCTCATAAAGACTGCAGGCACACATTATCTCACATTTTTAGGAGGTCAGCTTTATAAGTTTCAGGCCTAATGTTTTCTTTCTTTCTTTTTTTCTTGATCAATACTTACTGTACAGGGAATTGTATCAGTTGTTACTCATTTTCCGGTCATATATTTTATCTCTCTGCTTCATTTATAAATTCATTTTCCTCCTTTAAAATTAGAAACTTATTTGATATAAACGATGTCACTGATTTATAATTTTACTGAATATGTTTGTGCTGAATGGAATGGAAATGCTAGTTCACGTGTATGTTGATATTTAACCTTGCAGTCTGTTATAATAGTCAGCAAGGAAACTCTCTGGGAAAACATATTTCCTAGGAAAGTTTCTATTACATAGCAATCACAACAATATGGAATCAAGTCTGGGGAATATAGTGATCCTTTGGGGCTGTATTGGCTGATACACTTTTTGAACATCAACAAACCATCTCTAGACTTCAGAGCATCTTGAAAATAAAGTACTTCCACTTTGATAGTGGTAACTTTCTTATAAGAAAAGTCACTAGTATGGACTTCAGGTCACAGTTTCTATGTCTTCTTCATCCAGGTATGTGCCCCTTCTGCCCTGCCCCGCACCCAAACCCAAATGCTTTGTAACAAGCAGAGAGATGTGGCAGCACATATGCTCATTTACTATCTCAGATGACCTACTTTATTAACATCCACGGAGGATCAGGGAGACTCAGTTTATGTCTGCAAGGCTAAGAAATATATTCATACACATATATCTCAATTCTACCAATGTGGAGCCAAGTGCAAGCTCACAAGATTAAACTAAGGTCATGGCACAATGCACATGTGATAACTCCCTCACAATGAGGCGAAATCATTCCATCAAGTTCAAGTCTAAGGTCATTTCCTATCTTCTTTGTCAAAGTAAAAGGGAGAGAGAAAGGAGTTTGGAAAACTCTTCACTTCCTTAAATTTCAATCTCCCTATAGCTTCATGGGAATAATAAAATACCTACCTCATATAATTTTTGTCAATGTCAAATCAGTTTGTATGAAGGCTATTTGTGTAAACACCAAAGATGAGAAGCAATAATATGCATATCAATGGATGTCACAGAAAAATAGCTTTTATGTAGATGTTTTATTTACATTGTATCTTTCATTCAAGGTGATGGCTCTGCTAAATGGCTTTGATTGATTACCAATGATACTGAAAGGTGACATACAGAAAATCATATTTGAGAACAATCAACAATATGACAATTTCCAGGTTCCCAGTTCTCTCTCTCTGTCTCTCTTTTTCCCAATTCTCTATCTAGGAGTCCTTTACTCTGTGAGTGAATCATTCTTTCTTTTTCTGTCTTAAAAATCTCCAAATTGTTTAGTGTCCCATCCACTACCCTTCATTTCTGTGCCCACAGTGTGTTCTGTGCTGGGTGAAGTCAGTGAGGCTGTACTTCGTTGAGGCCTCCCAGCCTCCGCAAGGCTACCTTCATCTCTTTGTTACGGAGTGTGTAGATGATGGGGTTAAGCAAGGGAGTGATGACTGTATAGAAAACAGCTACTACCCCATCCAGAGGCTCCTGTGAACCAGGCCGCAGGTAAATGAAGGTGCAGGGCACATAGTACACAATGACAACAGTGAGGTGGGCAGCACAGGTGGAGAAGGCATTGCGACGCCCATCCACTGACTGGATTCGCAAGATGGCAGCCACAATGTAGCCATAGGAAGTGAGGATGAGCATAAAGCAGGTGAGGGCCAGGAAGCCAATGTCCACAAAGGTGACCAGCTCGTTGATGGTGGTGTCAGCACAAGCTAGACGGAGGATAGCCGGAATGTCACAGAAGAAATAGTCGACTCGGTTTGGTCCACAAAAGGGCAGCCGGAATATGAAACTTGTTTGGAAAAGTGAGTGAATGGTTCCTCCCAGCCAGGTTCCCAAAGCCAGGTAGTTACAGACACTGCGGGTCATGATGGTAGCATAGTGCAAAGGCTTACAGATGGCCAGGAACCGGTCATAAGCCATGAGTGTGTAAAGGAAGCATTCAGTGCAGCCCAGAAAATGGAAAGAAAACAGTTGGATTACACAGCCCTCAAAGGAGATAATCCTACTATCCAAGAGAAAGCCAGCCAGCATCTTGGGGACAATAGCAGAGGAAATGGTCATGTCCAAGAAGGAGAGGTGACATAGGAACCAGTACATGGGGCGGTGGAGTCGGGTGTCCACCAAGACAGTGAGGATGATGAGCCCATTACCAGAGACAGTGAGGACATAGATGACAAGAAAAGCTAGGAAGAGTGATGAACCCAGCTGTGACGGGTGGTGCAGGCCCACCAAAATGAAGTGAGACACAGAAGTCTGGTTTCCACTTTGCATGTCCTTGCTGTTCACAGCTGCCAAAGAAAGTCATGGAAAGATAGGCTTAATATTCGTGCAAAATTGTGAGGCATGGTTCATCTACTCTATAACATTCTCAGATATGGGAAGAAGAGAACCTCTTTCTTGCTCTCACTTTGGCTTCCTTGCTCTTTATTATTTATTTTTCCTCTCAATCCCCCAATTATTAATTCTGAGATCTTGCTTGGTTCCAAGGAATAATTTTTTTTCTCCAAGGTTAAAAGTAATAGACTATGTGTACAGGAGCCTGTCCTTATTTATAGTTTCATTTTTTTTAGTTACAGGCAACTGAGGCTCAACAATATTATTTGTCTTGATTCTTTCAAGAGGGAAAGACCACATTCACATAACTTTAATTAAAATATATTGCTATAATTATTGTAGTCCACCATTACTTATTCCTGCTGATCTGTTACTATGTCTAATTTATGAATCAAACTTTAACATGTATGCCTGAGTATGAAAGAACATTACATATCCAGGATTTGGTAGCATCCACTGAAGATTTTGGAACCCATCTCCTATGGGTAAGGACCAATTACTGTATATAATTCAAAAGAGTGAAGAAAGACAACACATGGAGATTTTCAAGTCAGGAAGAAGTATAATCACACTAAACCTAATCTATTGATGAAATATCTGTTTTGTTTTTTTGTTTCAGTTTGATCTATTATAATAGGTTCCATCTTATTTATTCTCTAATAACACATGAGTTGAAATTGTACTTTATGATCTAAATGTGCCTAATTAAAAACTGCATGGAATATAAATTGAATCTAATATTTAAAAAAATCTCTTAAGATTTAGCTAGACATGACTATTTTTAAACATTTTATGTAAAAAATGCACATGCTATTTAAAATCTTTCAGAGTGAAGCAGTGCAAGATCCTAGCTCTAAGGCACCTGATTATATTCTCTCTTCTTTTGGATAAGTACAGTCCATCCATCCATCCATCCATCCATCCATCCATCCATCCATCCATATGGTTGGGCATTATATAGTAGATCTTAAGAACATGGTTTCTAAAGTCTTACTGGGCTAAAAAAAGTATCCCTTTTATTTATATTTGGAAATGCCAACTTACCTTTTTTTTTTGCCTATATAAACAATTTTAAGTGGGTACAACAGCAGTTACCACCTCTTGGGATTGGTGTTAGAATTAAATAAACCCATTCTCATAATCCACAGTAACACTCAATAAATATTAACTACTATATTACATCGAATATATACTAGTCCTATATAGTCAGGCTAGTTCAGCCTTTCTATAGGTGGCTCAGATCTGAAGTAAACCTCTGGCTTTTAGCATCACAAAGAGCATTTTCTCCCAGGAGAGCTAAGTGAAAGCAAGGAATCAGGGAAGTGGCTGAGGGGTGCCGAGCTCTTTCAGGCAGTGAGGAGCTATCTGAGCCATCAAAGCAGATGATCTTACTATCTCTTCTTTCTAGAATCACTTTCTTTCCTCCACTATTTGCTCTAATGCTCTGCTTACAAGCTGGAGGCAAACATCCAAACAGTTTTACCTTCACAAAAGTCCAGGGTCAACCCATACTCATTCAGAAGGCTTCAGAGGATGTGACATGAAGCAGGACTTCCAACTGGACTCCTAGTGGTCTAGCAAACCATGGTAGGAGGTATTTCTGCCATCTGGCTACTTTCTTCTACACCATGTATCACCATGTGTTTGTCCTCTCACCCGCTCAACTTATTTAGTGTCAGAGACTGCTCTTCTCAGTGGCATGTTTGCTAGCTTCTGATTGTATTCTGGGATTTAGGATTTTCTGTGCTAAACCTGAGTGAGTCCCTGGTAAACACAATAATTGGTCACTTTAAGTAACAACTTAAACTGCCCAGGAACTAAACAATGGCTCAAAATAAAGCTGTAAAATCTATTTCTAAACACACCAGAGGCAATTCTTGATGGTTTCCCAGATGCTTCCTTGTTCACCATCTTGTAAGGGTGCAGCATTGCCCATGGGGAAGAGTGGATGTGCTCAGAGTCTAGTGTGGACCTACTGCTGGTCTCCTTTCAGCACTTTGATCCACATATTGGACTCTACCCAAACCTTTTTTCCCTATTTCCTTGTATGTTAACCCCTTTGATTTGGAGTGACCTTGTTCCTATGATGTTTGGAAAGTTTCTACTAATCTTCAAGATTGCATCAGCTGTTATCTACTCAACAAAGCCTTGTTTCATTTCTCTTCTTCCCAAATGATCACTCACTCATTCTTAATATCCTCCATAGTATTCATTCATATTTCTGTGATAGACTTACTACAGCTGTGTTGCCATTTATCTGTGTGTACCAGATTTCCCCAACTATACCATGAGTGCCTACAAGGATTTTCTCTTTTTTCTTTTCATCCTGAGTTTTTTGCATACCTTTCACAGAAAGGGTCTTGAATAACATTGAACAAACACATTTTCCTCTGTGTGGATATTCCTATTATCTAGATACTGAACCCAGAATAATATCAGTTAGGACTTATAACCTGAGTTTTGAAATCTTAAATTTTTTACTCAGTTTCTCATTTAAAAAGGGGAGCAGGGATATGTGTGGATTACTGCCAAAAAGAAATGGCAATCTCTTTTTAATCTAAATCAGTTCACATTTTAAATTTTGTTCTCACACAAAGAAAAGCAATTTTTCTCTTCTTCTCAGTTCTCTTCTATATCACAATTTCTTTCTGCTGCCTTGACATATCACTTCTTATTCACTCTTATAATTTGTTATTCTCTTTACAGAGAAATGATCTTTTTGCCTGGGAAGACAGAAAAACACTCCTGGCTTACCCACTATCAATTAAAACTGATGCAAGAATTTGGTGTATACATTTTAACTACTATCACCTTATATTGTTAGTATATGATATGTTGACATATATAATGGGAAAAAAAACACTTCTACATGAAGGCTTGGGCAGAAGTATGCAACGACCCATATAATAGCTTTACCTGGCCATCACAAAGCCAATGTGACCCTGAAACTCATCTGGCTCAGAAAACACCAAGACATAGATTAGCTTTAGGCAAGTAGAGTTGAAAGACATCCTTTCTCTTTGGAATAATGCCATGAGGGGATTTCAGCCACTCCTGTGTTCCCAGCATATTTAACGTTTACTAAATATATATTTCAGAAGAATTTGCATTACTGTATGCCTACCTCTCTTTTGAGGCCTTCTCTGCTGGTGACTACTGCCTGGATATTAGTCTGCTGAGAGGCCATTGCCCGCTGCTTGCCTCAGCTTCTTCTCAGTCTTTGCTGTTCCTTAAGGAAACATACATTTGAGCTCAGTGGGTGTGGTCTCCTTCTTTGATATGCCCTTTCTTGCTTGTTTGACTGTGCCTTATCTTTACATATTCTGACTCATCCCTCCCCTTCATAGCTTTTGGGAAGTGTTGGCTTTGGCCTCTGGAGTCTTCTTACTTTCTAGTGAGCAGCTTCTTCCTTCCAGTAGTCCCATAGGGGTAGGAGATACGGTGCTGGCTTTACTTCTGCTTCATCCTTCAGGAACAATTAACTTACCCCATGGAAATAAATTGCATCGGGCTTTGGTAATAGTGTCTACAGCTATACCAGGAAATTATCTTAGTTACTAGTAGTGTTTTTATAACATAGGATCCTGCTAAGAACAAGTACTTGATCAAAACATGAAGAGACCCTTTCCACCTATAAATTGTAGATAATGCTGTACTCATTTATCCTTTTTAGGTTCGGATGAAATTTGAAAGAACCTTGAAAGTTAAATATACTACCTGAATTCCATATGTTATCACTTAAAAAAAGTATTCTCTAAATTGAACTTAGAGTTAATTACTAGGACACTGCATTAGAATAGGCACTATTATTTGGGGGCAGAACTCTATTATCATTCAGCATATAAAGAGGAAATTAAGCTAGATCAAATATTTAAAAAGTGGCAATTGCTTAAGGGTCAAATACATTAGTTAGAGCTGGAAGAACTGTTAGAGAAATGACCAGAAGCAACTTCCAGTTCACACTTGAAAAAAAAAAAAAAAACTTCAGAGAGAATAAGGAATTTTCCAAAGGTAAAAGTCATACTCTTAGTGGACAAAGTTTCATTCAGTTCTATGTGGATAAATGATATGGATTTACCCAGCTCTGAGAATAGAGAATCTTGTAGTCACAAGATTGGGCTAGCTATTGATCTACAAATATTTAAATATTATCTGTTTAATATAGCTTAACTACTTTTAGCCATTATTGTTGAGCAGTTTTTTTAAGGAGCACACTGTGAAGCACAGTTTTGCATTTGTTCTATTTTTTAAATGAGTCATTCTCCGCTTAAAGAATTATGTAAAGTCAATATCAAGTATTCTGGTTTGTGTTTATTAGTATATTTTCCTATTGCAAGGACATGATTTTCTGGTTTTTCTGTACTTCCTCATGATAGCATAAATCAGATTTAGAGTTTTGGTAATAGCCAATTCTACATAGAGAAAGGTCTCAACTCTTAATAAGCCTATATCCATTACTGGATTCAATTGATTAATCTATTTAGTCAACTGAAAGCCCTCATGATCCAATCAATTCCCAAAATCCTATCAGGTAGCATCTACACCCTTCAACACCAGGAACCTTTTGGGGGACATTTTGGGTCTTAACTGCAACACCAAGTGAAGGCACAAGGAAGCCAAGGGAATTTTAGCAAATGCACAAAGGAAGAGACAGTGAGAAGTGGGGTCAAAATGTCACAAATCAGAAGAGGGACATACAAGATACTTCTGAGTCCAGCTAGTGGAGACAGTGGAAGAATGTATTTCATCATGCATGAGGTGGAACTGAATGAATAGTTCAAATAATGTAAATGAGGTACAGATATAGAAAGAAGGACTCAACTCCCCATGACCTTGGTACATTTCCATACTTCCCCCAAGCTTTTATTTTGTTGGCACACTCCGTGGTGAGAAATACCTCCTCTGTGTCATAGGAACACAGCATTGCAGAATTACTGGATCTTACCTCACGGTCCACTGAACAAAGTACTAACATATAAGACAATAATTTTGCTACTTTGCATTCTTCCTCACTCAGACAGTGTGTATCTATGTAATTCCATGGGATGATGTCTCTGCATCTCGCTGTGTTCAAAGGTAAAAATTAAAAGTGAGCAACTGCAACATAAATTGGTACAATGATGACATGTTTGGGCTTTTCAGGAATCAGGCTTTCATTCATCCCATTTGGCAACACTACCATGATGAATTTGCTGCTAAGAAAATCTACTTTTTAAATATTATTTTCATTTTAAATTATTTTTTATTAGTACATGTTTACAGTACATGAAGAATGCTATTTTTAATTAACAGAAATGATGAATTCAATAATAAAAATAGCAATAAAATAAAATGATACAATTTCTGAAAGGTAATTAAAAGATGTTTACTTTCATTTTTCATTAGAAATGATACAGATTTTAACACCTCAATAAGATCCCACTACACATCTAATAAAAGAACTAAAATGCAAAAGATAGTGATGATCATATGTAGAACGAATGGAACAATTTCAAGCACTGCTGCTGTGAATATAAACTGACACTGTAAGTCTGTGTGACATTCTATACTAAAACCATTCATACACCTTCCTTATGACCTAGAAGCTCCACTTCTAAGGGTGTACGCATATGTGAATGTACATATGTGTTAGAAATGTGTGCACAGAAATTCAAATATGCATGAAAAAAGTATATAATATATAGTATGTACCTGCCAAATTAAATTCTACAGATTACTGCATCTATGTCTACATTTATATTCAAAAATATATGCTTTAAAAGTTTATCAAAGCATTATTTTTAGTAGGCAAAAATTGGAAACTTCTAAAATTCTTGAGTTGAGTGAAAATAAATAGTTGAATATTCACACAATGGGTTGCTGTGTGGTGATAATGGGGTCTGCAAGTACCTGTGAAATTATTAGGCGCTTACTGTTTATGCCCATTTATGTGTGCTGTGATTTAATATAAAAAGTGTAATACTTATTAAATATCTAGAGCAGTGCCTTTTATCTGGGAGCAATTTTGCCCCACCTGGATCATTTGCAATCTATGGAGACATGGTGGAGTACCATGGGTCCTGGCATCTAGCGGTTAGAAGTCTGGATGCAGCTAAATATTCCATTATATACAGGGCAACACCCAGAATACCACTTATCTTGGCCCAAAGGTCAATAGCACAGAGGCTCATGGAAACCTGATCTGAATATGAATGTAAGTAAAAATGAGTAAGACTGTGACAATAGAATTAACAAAATATTTTGAGAAAAATGTAAGTTGCTAAAAAATGGAACATTACAATGTGCTCATAGGTTGGAAGAATCAATATTATACAAAGCTAATTCTTGTCAGATTTTTCTATTGATTCAATGCAATTCCAAACAAAATCCCAGCATTTTCTCCTGTATATATGGACATGTGGATCTTAAAGTGTATACTGTATTGAAACGGAATACATCCCCCAAATGGTCAGGAGAGCAATGAAGAAATAAAGCAAAATTGGAAGCATCCCATTAATAGATGTAAAAGAAAATTATGGTGCTGAGTATTTAGTATAGTATTTGCATGAGGCTAGACAAATTGAAAAGTAGAACAAATTAAAATAAATACATAGACTGAGACATATATAAACTGATGTATATTTATATAACAAAGGTGACCTAGAGTGTGATAAATAAAGATAATCTTTTTCAATAAATTATTTTGGGTCATTTGGTGTTCTGGTTAAAAATTTGACCCTATTTTACAGCATACAAATAAAACATTACAGTTATAGTGTAGATATAACTGTGCCAGTCTTTCTGGCTTTTATTTAGCTAAAGATATTTTTTAAAAAGCAAATAACAAAAAAAGAGGTGAGGCATAAAAATGACAAATTGGATTAAATTTATTGAGTATAAGACAAAAATTTTGTAGCTCATTCTTTGATCATATGTAATAAAGCTAAAGCACAATACACAAATTATAAAAAAAGAGAATAGCACTTGGGAACTTTGTACCAAATTTCTAAACAACAATTCAGTTAATGTAATTATAGCCACCATCTCAAGCTACTTACAAAATAAAAACATCTTCATACCTAAAATGCAATGACTTCCTAATGAAGTAAAGGATGAAAAAACCCCAAGTACTAAATATTGCCTAATATAAAATCATCAACATTTGGTATACAGAAAACATTTTAAAAGCAAAATACCAGCATTAACACTATATTGTTGATAAAATTTCCCGCAACATTAAAATAATATACAAAAGCAAAAAATATTTTTTAAAAGATACATTTTAAAGCACAATCTACCTCACAATAAGGTAATGAATTAATGTTTTTAATTTGTAAATGCCCAGGTCAATCAATATGAAATACAATATTAATTCCGAAGAAATGAATAAAGTCCTTGAAGTGCTAATTTACAAAAGAAGATGTACTTATGAGTTATCACAAGTGTTTATTTGTATTTATAAAATCAATGAAAATTGTGACAGCAATAAAACCTAACTGTTACTTATACAACTGGAAAATCCTTATAAACCCATAGGTATTTCTTAGGGAGAAGAGATTTAAAAACCCTGACAACAAGAAAATTAGGAATTAGATGTTCAGCTTGTTACAAAAGATGGTCAAAGAGACAGTGATAGTGCGGTGGAGAGCACAAGCAGGTGATCCCCACTGGGGAAATTAGACAATTTTAAATTGAGAATAAGTAGCTGTGAGTGACTCTCCACTAATGGTGAAGGAAATGGGTAACTGAGTCATTCTTTTTTCCTCATAGGTATAATTATTTGTTCTAGGAAGACTTGGGCTATCTCAGGAGGGTTTCAATAAAAACCACATTGGGAAATGTGCTTGCTTATGAAAGCCCTTGTGTTTGTCTCTTCCTGTTGATTTTGCTCTCATTGGGGAGCCTGGAAATCCAAGAGCAATCCAATCCCACCAGAATGAATCAAGTCAGCTTCTATGCATTTAGACATGTTGGTTCCCATTCTCTGCACCTGGTATAGTTTTGTTCTTGAGTGGAAATGCATCGCTCTTTATCAGGACTACATATTTATCCTTTGAGTGATAGCTGTCAAACTAGTGCCTATGTATACCATGTAGACAGTGAAAACTTTGTCAGAAAAACTCAAGCAAGTTTTATGACTGAAATGAATCACATCCTGTATGGTAAAGTAGATTTAATTTATAAATCTGTTTTCCTTATTTTTCCTTGCCTTGCACATGCATGCACAGC